TATTTACCTGACATCACATGAGGTGAAAATTTACTAATAAAATATACCTATAGCTAACTAAATACCAAATTGGCACCCTATGTGATATTGGGTAAATGGACTGTCAGGTAAGTAGTTTTCAGAGAATTGAGCAACAACCGAATCTATGCCTCCTTTAACTGTTTAATACAAAACTTTCTATTGTTAATTTTTGATATATAGCAAAAAAAATTTCTTTGATATTTAGATATGAAAAAAATAAATCAATATTTCTTTCTTTCAGATTATTTACATATTAATTATACAGAAATCTATATTAATGTTAAACTCTGTATATAAGTGATTTTGATGGTCATGCAGGTTTGTGGGTCAAATATGTTCATTATCATAATGCAGTAAATGAATATTTAAACAAACATTATAGCTTAATAAAGTTTATTACATAATTAAGATATTTTTATTAGTAAAAAAAAATAAACTATGAGTTTATCATTTTAATTTATAAACATTTTATGGCAGACCAACTTTTTTTTACACATAACTTGGTAATACATTAATTGAGTATTCAAAATATTTGCAAGTAACCTTATAATAAACTAAATGTAGTGATAATAATATTTGATAAAATATTAATGTATTCTTATTTTGATTGATTATATATAGTAAATGAGCATCGTTCATTTATCAACTAATCATATAAAGAATAATTATAGCTGTGCTTAATTACGATCATAAGCTAATTATATTGAGGTTGAAACTTGAGAACACCCTAAGAACTTTATTTTTTATGAAAAAAATTTCACATAAAAATTTGACATCAATGCAATTAAATAAAGTAGTCAAATGTATTAAGAATGTATTAGTCTTGATATTTAATTGTAGTTTTGTATTATTATAAAAATATTCATTTTTATATATTGTGAGTCCCAAAATCGGTTATACGTTATTATGATCACATATAACTGATCATCAAAATTAGGTTCCACCCCTACCTGAGTAATTAGTCATATGAAAAGTAAGATTTATCTTTTCTTATTTTTATTACTTTTGTTGCATTTATTACATTTATTACTTTGGATAAATTGACAGCATATAGTACATTCAGTTTTTCGTTAAGATAGAAGAAAAAGAGGTTTTTATAATGATATAGTGTAAACAGATAATGTAGAGGAAATTATCTTTGAATGTAAATAAAAGTTTTATTATAAATAAAGGGCTTTTCACTCAGGGGGAACATAAGCAATATGGGCGATACTCCCAAGTAACTACACTTTTATATAATAAACTAAAGTATCGAACCCATATTAAAAGTACAACTATAATTCAACCCAAACTAAAAACTATTATTAAAGATCCTCATTATCCATACTGTCTGTTCGTTTGTAACTTACCTAACCACATTTTGTTCATTCACTGCAAGTCATGTGACCAAGCCGTTAATACAAGAGAACTCCAACCTAATTCAATATATCATAACCCAGGTTAAGAAAATAAAGAGAGGACAAGAGAAGGCAAGGGTTAATAGAAGAATAGGTTAAAGGAAGGACTTAGAAGAAAAGAGTAGTATTTACCTAGGAATAAACTACTAGTCAAATCTAACATGCCTATTTCAACTTAGCTACTGTAGGTTACATAAGAATTGGAAGGAATTAGTAACAGACTTACCAATTTGCTGCACAACATTTAGTGGTAACTGTGAGATATAAAAAGAAACTTGAGTTAGTAAAAGTATATGTCTTGTCACAAAGATAAATGAAAATAAATACTTATCTTAATAAAGAAATTTTATCACCCTATATATCAAAAAGTCTCCTAGATAGTAAGAAGACTCAAAAGAATATAAAAAAGAAAACATTGTATTTGAATAATAATAGAAGAAAAAATAGAATAGTTAGTAAAGATCTGAATATAAAAGAGTTAGAAGAAAAATGTGTAAAGCTGACTGCTATACTTACCCAAAAACAAGCTATAGAGTTCCAAGAAATCATCAAAAAAATTTTGGAAATCATGAAATCCATAATAAACAAATTTCTCAGGCTTTGAAATTTGTTTTAAAAGTATTGAAAAATATTACTATAAACAATAAAAAAAATATCGTATATATATTGTGATACCGGAAAACGTGATACCGAATATCGTGACCGATCACGTGAAAAATGCACGAAATGCAATAAGTGCAATAAATGTAATAAGTGTAATAAATTACATTTAAGATCGGAAACGGTATTTCGGATCCGAAGGGGTAGAAAAGGGATAAAGGGAGGAAATAACGGATATTAAATAAATACGTGTAAATAGATTAATTAGTTTTAATGGATATGTCGCATTTGTAAGCGACGAATTTTATATAATAAATAAAGGCCGAAATGGCCCTTTGGAGCAGTACGCTTCGTTTGCTTTATTAAATAATAAATCCCAATACACTATATTGTACATAATAAACACTAACACTATTACCGTTACAAACCCTGTGAACCCTTAATAACGTCGCTATTCAAGCCCTTGTACACGTGACTTACCATACTCGCATTCGTTGACCCAAAGTGACCGAAAGCCTTAACCGCCCACTAGCCAAATCTAACACCCTCTTTCGAAAAGGTTACTTGTCATACGTTACACGAGATTTAGAATTGTGAAGCGACAGAGTCGCAAACTTCCGAACACAACAATATCTACAGATTTAAACATTAGTTCTAATCCAATCTTACAAAAGACAGGGTTTAAAGATAAAAAAATAATGGTGTCTGAAGTCCTTGATGCCTATTATAACATTCTAGAAGATCAGGCTGGAATAGAAGTTGACCTAAATAAACTTCTTCAAGAGTTAGTTATTGAATGTGAAGCTCTTGCACAAAGGTGGGCCCCAGAAGAAGTCATCCAAGAATCTGTACAGGAAAATGACTTGGTCAAAATGGAACTTAAAAAAGAAGACCTAATATTTGATCCCAATTAAAAATTTGCAAAAATGGAGAATGTTGATGGAGCATATAATGTTGAATATCATTATGAAAAAGGAATTAAAGCTGAAAAGGAAGAATATAAGACACCTCTTTATTATCAAAAACTTAATAATACAGAAGACAAAAAGGAAATGTTTGGAAGGCCTTCTAAGATCATGGAGATTGCAGAAAGAAAATTCGAATCTGATAGTAATGACAGTGATGATAATAGAAACAATGATAGAATTGAAATCAAAAATGATAAATGTAAAGTCTTTGGATCTTGTTGTGAAAATGGAATTGAAGTTGAAAAGAACAGCCATCAAGCATTGAATATTGATAACAATGATAACAACAATGGTAACAATGATACTGATGGTGATAAAAATGATGATAATATGATCTGTGATAAAGATGACAATGGGACTGAGATCGAAGAGGATGAAAACAAGAGAATTGGATTTGATGAGGCTGAACATAAGGCATTTGAATGTTTTTGAAAAGCTGCTAAAGATAAGGACTCTAATGTGCAAAGCTGCCAACATTTCACATTGGAAAACTTGGATGAAGCCTGTGAAGATTGGAATAGAAAGGTTAATGGGTTCAAAAGATTAATCCAAGATGACTTGAAAGTAATAAAAGAACCCACCATAGTCAAGGAAATTTACTGATCTGAAGGACCTCCTAGGATGAATCAAGCAGTCGAAGTGGAATTCGGAAGAATAGAAGGAGAATTGTGAAAATTAGAAAAACGAAAGCAAGACAAAAAAACAAATATTTACAGAGAATTAGGTAAACTCACCTCCCAATAGAAGCTAATGCTGAAAGAATCTGAGTCAATACTACCAGATAAAGAGGCCGATGAAGTCGCAGAATGTGAACCAAAACCTGGAGAGTCTGAGGAGTTGACACAAGATGAAAGGAGGGGTTGGCCTGAAAGGATGTTGATGAACCGAACAGCTAAGAGACAGTAACACAGATTGAACCCGAACCACCACCTGAGCAAGAAGCTAATAACAATGAAGAAAGAGAACCTAGAGATGAAATGCTGAAGAAAGAAGTTAGTAAAATTGATCAAAAACGTAAAGACAAAGAACCAGAAGAATACTTCCCCCCCTGTAATTGATCCACAAAAGAACCCCACCACAGAAGCATCGAGACACAAGGATCTAAAGTTTCTGTCGCGCTCCTATTTATGCGTGGTACGCATAAACTAAGTGTAGGAGAAATGTGAGCCCGAAATCGGTCATACGTTATCACGGTCACACGTGACCGATCGTCGAAATTAGGTCCCGCCCCCTACCTGAGTAATTAGTCACATGAAAAGTAAGATTTATCTTACTTTTCTTACTTTTATTACTTTCGTTGCATTTATTACATTTATTACTTCGGGTAGATCGACGGCATATAGTACATTCGGTTTTTCGTTAGGATAGAAGGAAAAGGGGTTTTCATAATGATATAGTATAAATAGATAATGTAGAGGAAATTATCCTCGAATGTAAATAAAAGTTTTATTATAAATAAAGGGCTTTCCGCCCAGGGGGAACGTGAGTAGTATGGGCGATATCCCCAAGTAACTACACTTTCGCATAATAAACTAAAGTATCGAACCCATATTTAAAGTACAACTATAACCCAACCCAAACTGAAAACTATCGTTAAAGACCCTCGTTATCCATACCGTCCGTTCGTTTGTAACTCACCTAACCGCATTTTGTTCGTTCGCCGCAAGTCACGTGACCAAGCCGTTAACACAAGAGAACTCCAACCCGATTCGACGTATCGTAACCCCAGGTTAAGGAAGTAAAGAGAGGACAAGAGAAGGCAAGGGTTAATAGAAGAATAGGTTAAAGGAAGGACTTAGAAGAGAAGAGTAGTACTTACCTACGGATAAACCACTAGCCAAATCTAACACGCCTATTTCGACTTAGCCGCCGTAGGTTACACGAGGATTGGAAGGAATTAGCGACAGACTCGCCGATTTGCCGCGCAACAATATGTAATTTTAAGGTGGTATTTTTACATGATGCCAATGCTTTTCTTGTCGATCCACAAAAATTGTTCCAAACTAAATCTAAATTAGCTAACGTAGTATTTTTTGCATAAAGCTTCAGCCAGTGCTTTTCCTGCCAATTCTCCCAAGTTATTATTAACACTTAAGTTTAAATCAGTTAACGTAGTATTTATGCATAAAAGTTCAGCCAGTGCTTTTCCTGCTGATTTTCCCAAGTTATTATTATATAAATTTAAATGAGTTAACGTAGAATTTTTGCATAAAGCTTCAACCAGTGCTTTTCCTGCTGATTCTCCCAAGTTATTCGAATCTAAATTTAAATGAGTTAACGTAGTATTTTTGCATAAAGCTTCAGCCAGTGCTTTTCCTGCTGATTCTCCCAAGTTATTATTATATAAATCTAAATGAGTTAACGTAGTATTTTTGCATAAAGCTTCTCCCAGCACTCTTCCTGCTTTATTCCATAATGATACATTATTGCTCAGAGTATTTGTCTGTTATGGCTCAGATTCAATTTATTAAGTGTAGTATTTTTATAAAGAACCTCAACTAGTGCCGTTATTGTTTCACTGCCTAATAGATTAGAACTTAAATTCAAACATGTAAGCGTGGTATTTATATGAAGAGCCTTAGCCAGTGCCTTTCCTGCTTCATCAGTCAGATGATTCTTTTCTAAATTTAAACTAGTTAGTGTGATATTGTTGCATAAAGTTTCGGCTAAAGCTTTTCCAGATCCATTTAGAAGATTTTTTGAACTTAGATCCAAGTATTTTAAAGTGGAATTCATATTTAGAGCCTTAGCTAGAGCTTTTCCGGCCTCATAGTTTAGCATATCGTCAATACTTAAGTCACCGAGAGTAGTAACCTGTTTAAGAGCATCAGATACTGATAAATTATTTGTTTGTGAATTTGGTACCTCCTGCCCAATAGTTTGATACGATTTGTACGTAAATCTATTAAATTGTTATTTAAGAAAAAACGTCAATTGAAAAAGTTAAATAATAAAATGATCAAAGCCAAATTAGAATTAATATTAAATTGACAATTGAATACTATTTTTAATAGCAATATATACCATTATTAAACAATTTTCTTCGCTTTGTTTCGTCTAAAAAAAAACAAAAAAACAAATGATGAGCCTAATAAATATGAATTAATAATTTATTATATTAATCTTACTTCATACTTTTATTGGCTAATAAAAATTCAGTAGTGTGCTTTTTTGAAACAGATAAACTTATGCTCGTACTTAAGTCGTTAGTTCCTCTGATGAATTTGGATTTGTATGTTCGTTAGCTTTCAAATTTTCAATATGTAATTTATGAAATAACAATGCTGTAATAAAGTGCTTACATAATGTTAAAAGAATAATAATCGCCAATACTGTGAAGAGAAACTATAGAGCTTGATGTAGAAGAATTAGAACTTTGAATTAAATCTGAATGCATAAAGTCTATGGTAGGATTTAATATTTGACTGTGAGTTTTAGAATGAGGATGCATATATCTAACAATGAATTTCCCGGAGTTAAGTAATTCTTGCCACTTATTTTCAGCTTGTATAAAGTTTTCATTTATCGTCCAATACTTAGAATTTATTTTAGAATATATTTCATGATCTATTTCATTAATGGATGGCCTCTTTAAAGGATCTGAACGCCAACATTTTTGCATTAAAGTAGCTCAACATCGTGGTGTATCTTCTGTAATATCCGGGCTTGACTCACCGCCTATATTAAACATAAGATGCGCATCATACGCCTGGTCGCAGAAGGGACGACGTCCAGTTGTAAGTTCCCACATAATTATTCCTAAACTATAAATATTTGAACTAAATGAATATTGTTTTTTGCTGAGTACTTCAGGTGCGACATATGGCATAATCCCATAAATTTTATGTGAATTTTCAGGATCTTCATTTACTGGTCGACTAAATCCTAAATCTGCAATTAGGGAGTTAGAGTAATTTTGTTTCCCTTTATTTATCAATATATTTCCGCTATGTATATGCGGTGTATAATTTTATTTTTATGAATCCATTTAATGCCTGTAACAATATTTCTAAGAAAACTTAGTTTTATTTTCCATGTGATATTCTCAAAATTATTAGATAAATGTTCATTTAAACTTCCATGAAACATATAAGATATAACAAATATATGATTATTTGTATTTGGATCTTTTGACACTCCATAACATTGAACAAGACTGCGTACAGTAGAATAGGTTGACTTTTAACAATATTTTGTAGCTGTAAAAAAAAAAATTAAGAACTTTTATAATAGCTTATTGGTAACTAAATTAGGTTAAATAGTTAAAATACTAGCTTACCTCTTTTAAAAATGCAGAATCAATGGTCGAGGAATCTTTAAGAACCTTTAACACAACTATCACATTTCTATCCGATTAAATTCCTCTTTACTCTTATTCCAACCATTTACTATTCCTTTTGTCCATTTGGCAGAATAGATTCGCTAAAGCCACCTGTTCCAATTCGTTTTATATCTATAAATTCGATTAATGGGATCCACGATAATCTAAATCTTGGTTGATTACTATGTGTTGACTTAATTAAATTGTCAATGTCTTGATTTCCGCTACTAAAATTCTGGAATTGTGTATTATAATAACAAGTAGCATATAATTTATTCTCAGATTTAAGAATTCTCATTTTTTTCACAGTCGGTACATTTATCGATTTTTTTTTGTTTAGAACGGCAACTAAAGCATAGCATTTTAGAATTAACATTTCATACAAATTAGCCTCTGAAACAATCATTGCTATTTTGCGTAAAATTAATAAACTTTCTTATGAACAAATATGAAAATTATATTGTATAAACTTTCTTAACTGGAAATAACAACAAGAACTTAAACCGTCTTATGTCAGATCCTTACTTCAATCAAGCCAAAGCAATAGAAAAAACTCTAATCACAAAAATTATACTTATTCTTGTCTATATGGACTATCTGATTAACTATGCCTCAATTCTAATGCTTGTCCACCCATCAGCTATGTCATCCATAAAATCAACATCTGGACTATTCTTTGGATTAAATATATCATTTCTTATAATTATATTCTAAACTTATAAATCTAAGTGAGTCTTGATCATTCTAATAGGTTTAGATCACAAATAAATATGTTTAAGTTTTTATTCTTGAATGTAGTTTTTCTTTTATTTGTATTTAAAGCAATAGTTAAATAGTTAGTATTTTAATGATTCAATTCTGATTATAAATATTAGTTTTAACTATAATATTTATAGAAAAAATTACGTTTTGTATATAATAGTTTCATGTAGCTACTAACTTTTAAACTGCCAATAAAGATATAAGCAAAGTCTCATCTTAATACCAAAAATATATATATATATATATAAAAATATATATGTAATATTAAACCTGAATATGTTTATAACTTTGAACTAAACCTGAACTAAACTAAATTTTAAGTTTAGTTTCAGTTTAGATTTATCAATTTTAAGTTTCATTACAAAATTTGAAGTTTAGTATAGATTTAATAAATTTAGTTTATGAATTTAAACTGAACTGAACTGAACCTAGGAACACTAATTAAATAATAAGATATATATTTATTTATAGCTTTATTATTATTAGTTTAAAAAGCTTTATCAATTTATAGGTTATTATTATTAATATTAAATAATTTGAATAATTTATTATAAATAAATTATATATTATAATACCAAAATATTATAATTGATCATATATATATATAGAGAACTAAAAAAATAATGATCAAACTCATATACAGAACAGACTATAAAACTCTTTATAGTTATAAAAGCTAAACTTTAAATAATAAGTACACTAATAAAAGACAACTTATTAGGATCAATTACAAAATCTTTAAATTCCTTTGATTTAAATATATATTACAACAAATTTTATATAAAAATAACTTATTACCTCTCTATCATCTACAAACATTACATATTACAACTTTATCAAATTATTCAAAATATCTATTAATTCTTTTTATACAATACCCATATCTATACTAGTTATAATAACAATTTATTTCCTAATTATATTTTACTTACTTATTATTAATACTATAAATATTATCAACTATCTTTAAAATCTTCTGCTAACTTTTCTATTAATGACTTTCAACTCAAACTTAATATTGTAATATATAATGTACAAGAGTACAATATATAGGAAAAAAACTATTATGAGAAGACTATTGTTTAACTTATAATCTATATATAATTAACTTACTAAAACAAAAATTTCCAAAAATATAAAGACCAAATTTTGGAATACATCTCATTATTCATACTTTTGTTTTAATTCTACAGAATCTAAAAAAGGAACATATCTAATGATTAAAAATAGCATTCAATCTTATATATATAACATACTTATATAACCTAATAGTGCTATTGCTATAGACTTATTTTATAAACATGAATATAAATTTAGAATTATTTTAGTATATCTTTTATTAACTAATATTGCTAATTATAGCTTATACAAAATATTATTATTACATAGATACAACAAGCAATATCTTCTAATCTATATCTTATTGTACTTGGAAACTTTAATGCAAATACAATATCACTATATTATTAATAACTAAATTTTAATTACTTAATTATCTGCATAGTATAAACATATATGATTTAGTAAACTATACTAATAAATTACAAAATATCTGATACAGTTTTGGATATCAAACCAAAATAGACTACATATAAGTTTATGATATTTTTATATCATATTTACATAAATTCAAATTTGATAATTTATTATTCTTAATCAAAAATAATTACTGAATTCTAAGTTCAATATAGATATTTTTATTTTCACAACCAAAGTCAAATATAAAGTAAATGATAAATATTTAATTACAAAATTATGTTTAAAAAAGATTAGAATAATTTTACAGATTAAGTAAACTTTAACATAACACAATATCAGGTTCCAATTACAATAAATATTGTGAGCCCGATTTTTGGGGTCACGGGTGCCTGAATCGGGGTGACGATCCTTACCCGATCCAAGGTCATGCGAAAAGTAACAGAAATGTTACTTATGACACTTATGGTACTTATGGTACTTACGGCACTTATGGTACTTACGGCACTTATGTCACTTCTGCTACTTCGGTTATATATATGTTAAATGGCATATCGGCCTTTTATGACATTTAGGGAATATATGGAGTATCTGGCATTTATGGCATAAATTGATTACGAATGTAAATAAGACGTTTATTATAAATAAAGGTCTTTCCGCCCTAAGAATAAAAAGTAGTCCCTTATACAAATAAAACTTCCTGTACAAATAAATATCCAATCCATAATAAAAGTATAAGCACAATAACAAACTAATAAACTTGTTAATCCCACTGTTGTACAAATCGTTCACTCATTTATAAACCACTAAACTCGCTGTTGATCGCTTGCCGCAAGTCACGTGACAAGACTGTTAACGAAATTGAAGAAGTTCCAACCCCGATTCGACGTAGTGTAATCCTGGGTTGAGGAAGATAAAGAGAAGACAAGAGAAGACAGAGAGTTAATAGAAGAATCGTTTAAAAGAAAGACTTGAGGAAGAAGACTTGTACTTACCTATGGATAAACCACCTGCCAAATATAACACACCTATTTCGACTTAGCCGCCATAGGTTATGCGAGAGTTGGATTAGTTTAGCGACAGACTCGCTGAATTCCAGAACCACAATATAATAAAAACTTTGAAAAAAACTTGGCACAAAATACATACTAGTATTATTAATACTGCATTTTAACATATCCTAAACAAAAAATATATTATTAGAAACTTTTATTATACATTCACATTAAAGACAATTTAATTACATTATAATCTTAAAACTATAGATTATATTATACACTGTACCAATAATTTCTTTTTACATTAAATACTATTATCTACTAATATTCAAAACTTAATTGATCATATTAATAACATATAATTTTATTATTAAATTATCTTTTAATTATTTATTCAACTTAATTATATTGATACAATATAAAAACCTTTTGAAAATGCTTTACAATATAAGAAATATAGAAAATTTTAAACATCTCAGAAACTATATTAATATAGTTACCAACAAATGATGTGAACAACTATCTATTTATTCAACCAAAATAATTAATAGTATATTAAATTAACATACTAATACAATACATCTTTATAATATTAAAACTAATAACAATATAATTACTGATTATATAAAGATTAAACAACATATTAGTGATTATTTTAATATATGAACATCTTATCATCTATTTGATAAAGAGATTTTTAATCATAACTAAAAAACTGAATATTAACCAAATACCAACATTAATGCTGAATAATACAATTCTATAATTTAAGAAATTATTACAAAAAAAATTGTAAACATTATACAACAATTACCTAATAACAAAACTTGTGCCCTGACAGAAATTAGTTATGAAATGATCAAACATCTAAGTTTTAATATGCTATCTGAATTTATAGCATTTCTTAACAGATGTCTACTACACAAAATATTTCAAAAAATAGAAATGTAGTAGAATATATCCTATATTATAAAAACTATAATTTTATAAAAATCTCAACAATACACAACCTATTGGTTTGATTGAATATACAAAAAAACTATATACCAAAATTCTTACCAACTGTTTATCACAAGTTTTAACTAAATACCAAATTCTTAACTTACATAACTATGTAGTATTATTTGGTAACTCAACTAATAATCCAATTTACATACTTAACAATTTTTTTGAAGATGCCAAGTGTACTAAAAAACACATTTAGATTTTGTTTTAAGACATAAGTAAAGTTTATAACTCTATAAACATATATCTTTATATCAAAACTTTACAATAACTTAATATATCTAATTTACTAATTAATATACTAACTAATCTATTATGCAATTAATTCAATTAAATTATTACCAATTTTAGACTTATAATCTCATATGAGGTACAAGATAATTTCTTTTTTTTTGACAAATCTACTATAATTCTTTAATAAATTATATATACAAAATATATATCAGTTACACTATAACAACTAAATGTTTTACTTAGATCAACTCTAACTAATATTAATTAACACTGTCTCTACATCTGTACTGACATATATGGATGATACACTATGACTTGCAAGCTCAATAGAGCAACTCTAAGCAATAAATCAAATAACTGTATTCTTTTATATAATGGCTTATATAAAAGTTAATTTATACAAATTCTTTTTAACTTTAAATACCAAATCTACTAATTATATTAGTTTTATGAATTAATTTATTTAAGCACAATTAAACAATATTCTCTTCAAATTTTTAAAATACTGGTTTATAGCTGCTTTACAATATATAACTCAAACTAAACTAATACAAAAGAAACATTTGAACTTAATAATATACTTAAAACCAAAAATATTATAAATAAATAAGCTATATATATTATAAATATAGTAATTATTTTAACTCTAGAATATTGTATATAAAATATAGTACTATTATACCTATTAATTATCTTACATTTACAAAACAATCTGAATAAAAAAGGTATAAATTAATTAGTAAAAATTACTTTGCAATTTATTTTGATTGTGAACTGCCATCAGAAATAAAAGATTAGATAATTAGTAAATCAACATAAAACATTTTTCAAAAAAGATTAACTAAGAAAATAAAGTTTTTTAGCTTAGAACTCTTCTAGTTCAAAAATATTCATCTAATAGTTATCAAGTTATTAAACCACTACATGTTTTTTTATAGTTAGTTATATTTTTTAAAAATATAAAAAATAAAGACTATAAAAAATATTGATAAAAATAAACATTTTAAAATTAATCAAAAATAGAACTCTCAAATTTAGATATTAATGCAAGTGATAAATTAGATAAAAATAAGACTAAACTTTTATTACTTTAGCAACTACAATAATGTGACTAAAAAACAAAAGCACTAATATTAATTATAGAAATAAGTATTTTTAAAATATCTATATATCAAAAACTACTTCAAATTTGATATTAAATCTTATATCAAATACAAAGCTAAAATTTAATCAAAATGACTATAAAAGGCTAAATCAAGAGATTGAAACCAGTGTTGGAAATCTGTTTTGAAATTTATGCTCTCATGAGAATACAATTATTTAATTTAATGTTCTCAAAAATATTTTTATGTTCTTAATAGCAAAAATTACTGTTACCATTTTTTGGAAATTTTCAGATAATATTGATAATTTATTTAAATTTTTATCTCAAATTTGCTTGTCTTTTATGTTTGTTTATTTTCTTTTCAAAATTTTTCAAAATTTATTTATTTCCTAATTGTCAACTTAATTTGTACTATAGTATATAGAGAACATATTTATTTATCAAGCAATATATTCTCAAGAATTTTTTTATAAAGAACATGTTCAAAGTAACAAATGTTCTCAAATTCAAAAATATGTACATGAGAAAACATTAGATTTTCTATACTGGTTGAAACTAATAAAAAAAATAAATATTTTTTCAAATTCATTTGAGAAAATATTTAAAAAGAAGTAATAATTTGCATAGTATAGTTTAATTTAATATATTAGCAACTTATAAATTTTGTAAATTTTATTATACATGCTAAAAAAAACAATTAATTAATTTATATATATGTAAATTATATTTGAATAATCTGAATGTAACTTTCAATATTTGATCTAAAATAGTTTATGTATTGAAAAGAATTGTATCAAGCTAAATATATAAATTTATTAAATTCAACTAAAAATCATTTATATACTAGCAAATATTTAACAGTGTTTTATATACAAATTTACCAAAATTGATCTAAATTTATTTGATTATCAGTGCCAATTCACTAAATTGTCAATGATTATTCAGTTAATTTGAATATATAATTTTATTAGCCATTAGTTTAAGATCTTGTATTTATTAAAAACTATTTAACTAATCTGAATTATGATAATAAGAATTGCCAAATCTCTAATAATATGCATATTACTAAATATTATTATTCATATATGCTAAATTCTGACAGAATGCCAACATATACCAGCAAGTATTCAGCTAGCTGAATAGAACAAAAAAAACTATTCAATCTATATTTATTAGCCACTAATTTGAATAACTTTAACTAGTGAAATTAATCGATGTTAGCATTGTCAAATATGAAACTTTAAAAACTTGTTACAAATTTTATACCGATATCAGTTATAACATCATCCTTTGACATAAAATTTGTCATTTTCATTTTTATATTTAAAAATTATCTAAAATCTGTATCGCTCGTTTCAGATTTTTGACTTACAGCTATCATCGTGAATCCTAGATAAAGATGTTAAAATTATCTTGCCAAAAAAGATCGAACAGGTCTTGGTAATGCATGAGTAAATCTTGTGCATATAAGTCATGTGCATATAAACAGTCACAGATCACAGTTTAGATCATCGGAAATTTTGCCAATGACCGAATTGACAAGTTACTGTGACAAAATCAATAAGTTAGTGAATTAGAAATTTATAGACTCGGTCATCAGAAATTTTTTTCTTTTATTTTAGTCAATGAGAACATTCTATAAGCTATGGACCGGTCTGAACCTGGTCATCAATTTAGGATCAAAAACCGGCTGGACTGGTGCAAAAGCCAGTCTAGACCATGGTCTTTGCAGGACCGTATCATCCCTATACATCACATGCCTAATAGTGCACAATCTATATGTTTACTAAATGCAATACTGATACTCTCTCACGTTCCTGGTTTCACGCGACTGTGTCGCGCAGCTATCTTATTGTACTACCATCTTTACCAAAAATAGGGGTCGTCTAAAGCTGTGTCCAGTCATCCGTTTTTGATTTTTCAATTAAAGTTAGGTAAGGGTTAGTTTGGGGTTCAGATCGAAGTATTTATTACAGTAAAATTGTCCTCCCGACATTTTTTATTAATACACCAAGATGGATATAGACTGTCATTTCTTGTATTTTTGCGATTTTCACTTTTTTCACTGTTTTTGTCGCTCCGTGTCGATCGAAATAATCAATTCTATTGGCCCTATGTCATGTGGTGGACACGGCTTTAGACGACCCCCAAAAATAGAAAAAAACCCTATCATAACTAAATCAAAATAAAATAGAACCAAAAATAGACAAGAAGCATAGCACAAAATCCTCACAAGGGCAAAATTGACTATTTTATCAAAATTATATAACGTTAAAATTCATTATGTAGTGTGATATCAACAAGTCTTTTTTTGTCTTGTAGTCAAATAATTAAAGTACAAAAAAAATTCTTTTTTTACTATATGTCTAAAGAACAGCAAAAAGTTATTGAATCATCTGATGATAATTCAAATCATATTTACAAGATGATAATTCACAGATTACTTAATGAAATTGTTAATGAATTATGCGATTTGTATAATAAAGAAAGATCAGGAAATAAGAATATTGGTACAATTCTTGACATAATGGATCAATTCTTAGTGACAAAAAAACAAAATTTCAATAATATAATCGATTGGTGTTTGAATAATCAAAACAATTCTATTATTCAAATAATTCTTGCACATTGTTATTTATTTGGTAAATGGGTAGAGAAGGATGAAGATATGGCATTCATTTATTATCAAAAATCTGCCAATATGGATAATGCTGAGGGCGCATTTACTGTTGGTAGTCTTTATAGTAAAGGGATAGGGACTAAAAGGGATAATAATAAGGCATTGATTTATTTTAAAAAAGCTGTTAATATGAATCATGCTGGTGGAATGTCTAACCTTGGTATTTATTATCAAAATGGGATTGTAGTTGAAAAGGATGAACATAAAGCATTTATTCTTTATCAAAAATCTGCTGAATTGGGTTATGCATTTGCAATATTACAAGTTGGTGATTGTTATTTTCATGGAATTGGTGTTAAAAAGAACGATCGTGAAGCATTTATTCATTATCAAAAATCTGCTAATATGGGAGTTGCTAAAGGTGCACTTAACGTTGGATATTGTTATCGAGATGGAATTGGAGTTGAAAAAAACAAACATGAAGCATTTAATTATTATAAAAAATCCGCCGAGATGGGAGATGTCAATGGAGCATATGAAGCTGCTAAGTGTTATGAAAAAGGAATTGGTGTTGAAAAGAATGAATATTATGCCTATGTTTATTATCAAAAATCTGCTGATATGGGAGATATTGTTGGGATTTTTAGGGTTGGATATTGTTATGATAAAGGAATTGGAGTTGAAAAAGATGAAAATAAAGCATTCATTTATTATCAAAAATCTGCAGAAATGGGGCTCTCTAATGGAATATATAATGTTGGATATTGTTATTATGCGGGAATTGGAGTTAAAAAGGATGAATATAAGGCATTGATTTATTTTCAAAAATCCGCTAGTATGAATCATGCTGGTGGAATATATTATCTTGGAACTTATTATCAAAATGGAATTAAAGTTGAAAAGGATGAACATAAGGCATTCACTCTTTTTCAAAAATCTGCTGAATTAGGTCATAATGTAGGAATGTTGAAAGTTGGTCTTTGTTATCAAAAAGGAATTGGAGTTAAAAAAGATGAGAATAAGGCATTTAATTATTACCAAAAATCCGCTAATATGGGAAATACTGACGGAATGTATAATGTTGGACTTTGTTATCAAGTTGGAATTGGAGTTGAAAAAAATGATCTTAATGCATTTAAATATTATAACCAATCTGCAGAGTTGGGAAATTCTGACGGAATGTATCAAGTTGGGCGTTATTATCTTTATGGAATTGAGGTTGAAAAGGATGAATACATGGCATTTATCCATTTTCAAAAATCTGCTGAGATGGGTCATTCCTTTGCTACGTACAATGTTGGTGATTGTTATTATAGGGGAATTGGCGTTGAGAGAGATAACAATAAAGCATTTATATTTTATCAAAAATCTGCAGAAATGGGACATGTTGGTGGAATGTACTATATCGCTCACCGTTATCGAAATGGGATTGGGGTAACGCGAGATTTACAAAAAGCCGATTATTGGTACCAAAAGTAAACCAGTTTTTAATTTAAAATGTTTGAATTATTTTATAAACGAGTAATTTTACTTAAATTCTTTCCGCTTAAACCACAAATTAGAAGTAAATATCTAACAGCAGGTAATTAATAGTAATGTTAATTCAATTATAATAGATCAAATCTAAAATTATTTACATTTAATTAGCTACAAACGATTGGACACAAGAGAGTTCTAATATCGATTGTGATTTGAAAAAAATGTTAATCGAAAACAAATATTCATTGCCGTGGATTTCATGATAAATTTCAGAATATTGAAGAGATAGGAAAAGGCGGATTTGCAACAGTATATCTGCCAATTGGATTGAACAAGACCGGGACATTGTTAATGAGCAAGTAGTTGCACTTAAATTATTTCACGAATCAGGAAATCGTCGTGAAAATTTTATAAATGAGGTAATTTTTTTAAGTGAATATTTTACAATGATTATATATAAAAATTTAAACTTATCTTCTTTTTTTAATAACAAGTTAAAAATATTTTGTGACATTAACTTTAAAAATCCAAATTTCCTAAGATGTTGGGGCATATCAAAAGATGATATTTCTAAAGATTATCTCCTCGTCATGGAATTAGCATTAATGGGTTCTTTACGCAAAAATCTTTATAACGTATCTCAAATGGAATGGAGAAAAAAATTAACTTTATTGAGTTGCATTGCTTCAGATCTAATGTCAATTCATTCTGAAGGTCTTATTCATAGAGATTTACATAGTGGAAATGTATTGCTAAGTAGCTTCCATAGTGCATATATTGCAGATTTAGGACTTTCGACACTAGCTAATGCAGAATCAAGTAAAGAAATATATGGTATAATGCCATATACAGCGCCAGAGGTATTAAATGTCAAGAAATTTAGTACAGCATCCGATGTGTATTCCTTTGGTATTTTAGCATATGAAATAGCATCGGGTTCCCTTGCATATCATAACATTCCACATGATATCCATTTGGCACGTGGAATTCTTAGTGGTATACGTCCAAAAATACCAACACATGTACCAAAATTAATTGCTGAATTAATTATTACATGTTGGAATACTGAACCAGTTAAAAGGTTATCTTCTAAAGAAATATTCAATATTATAGATGCATGGAATAATGAAAATGATGAGTCAGTAGAAATCGTCGCACAAACAAAGGAAGCTGATGAAGCGCTTAAAAATATTGTGATTTCCAATACATCCACAAAAAAATTCTATCACTATACACTCGGAAGCAATTTATGCAAGCAGGGTATTAAATATTCTAAATATTGCAGGTAATTATTAATTTTGTGGCTATTTGAATATTATGAGTTTAATAATAATTTTAATATCATAATTTTAATAATAATTTTAACGATATAATGAAAAAAAAACTTAGAGAATAGCGACGGTTTAATAATTGATTTACATGAAGATGTAAATGTTGTTGAGAAAAATGAAAATAAAGAATCTGTTCTTAATCAAGAAATTGATGAAGTAGAAAACGCCGATGAAGTGTTTAGGCTTGGCTGTTCTTATCACCTTGGGAATGGAGTTGATATGGATGAACACAAAGCATTTATTTATTATCAAAAGTCTGCTGAAATGGATCATATTAAAGGGATAATCAATGTTGGTTATGGTTATAGAGATGCAATTGGAGTCGAAAAGGATGAATACAAAGCATTCACTTATTATCAAAAAGCTGCAGAGATGGGAGATATAGATGGAACATATATAGTTGGCATGTGTTATGAAAAAGGATTAGGTGTTGAAAAAGATCAACGTAAGGCTCTCATGTTTTATCAAAAATCTGCTGAGATGGGTCATTCTGCAGGAGCAAATAATGTTGGTGTTTGTTACAATCATGGAATTGGTGTTGAAAAAGATGTGCATAAAGCATTTATTTATTACCAAAAGTCTGCTAATTTGGGATTTGCAAAAGGAGAAATAAACCTGGGCGATTGCTATTTTTATGGAATTGGAACCGATAAGAATGAGAGTATGGCATTTATTCATTATCAAAAGTCTGCTAAAATGGAAGACTCGGATGGACTAGTTAAAGTTGGCAATTGTTATCTTTTTGGAACCGGAATTGAAAAGGATGAGAACAAGGCATTCATTAATTACAAAAAATTTGCTGAAATGGGTAATGCTAATGGAATATATTTTCTTGCCCATTGTTATGAAAATGGAATTGGAGTCGAAGAGGATGAACGTAAAGCCTTTATACTTTATCAAAAATCTACTAGTTTGGGAAATACATACGGAATATATAATGTAGGTTATTGCTATTTTCATGGAATTGGAACTGAAAAGGACGAAAATAATGCATTCAATAGTTTTCAACAATCTGCTGAAATGGAAAATGCTGATGCCATGTATTATCTTGGTGTTTGCTATCAAAATGGACTTGGAGTTGAAAAAAATGAAAGTACGGCATTTGTTTATTATCAAAAATCTGCTGAAAAGGGAAATGCAGAAGCAGTATATAAAGTTGGCTATTTTTATGAAAATGGAATTGGTATTGAAAAGGATGCGCATAAAGCATCCGTTTATTATCAAATGTCTGCTGAGATGGGATTACTGGCGGAGAGTTGTCAACAAACTCGGACTAAACTTTAACGTTAAAATATTAAAAAAAGTTTCTGAATAAATTAAGTTTGTAATTGACATATGTAGTATATAACAGACCCGGGACATGTCTCTTTACAGGAGTTCAAAATGTTGTGTACTAATAAATCATTATTCTCGCTCGGATTACTTTATTTAAATATATATGGAATAACATCATGGGAGTAGTGCGCTCGCTGCAAGTCACATGACGAAAGTATAGTGAGCATCGAATACATAGTCGTGGTGTGATAGTGCAAGTAGACGATAGAGAAAAAAAGTATCTATATACATAATACATAAATTTGAAAGTTGGTAAAACAATATTTACACAATAATATGGTGCCCACGCATAGTGTAGCGACCTAGATGAAAACGTAAATATAAATATATTTCTAGATTGAGAACTGGGCAAATACAAGATTTACCGCAGTAGTAAGGTGCCCACGCCGACCTTTCATTTAAACAATGTACACAATATTTGTAATATGTATGTGTAATGGTAAGTAATAAATTCTAAATCGAGAACTGGGTAAATGCAAGATTCACCGCAGTAGTAAGGTGCTCACGCTCAGGTGTAGCGATCTTCAAATAAAGCATTAAACTAAGAACTGACAAGATTTACCGCAGTAGTAAAGATGGTATAATAATATATATATATATATCTGTATGTTATATTTTTGGGGGGGAAGGGTAGGGATTAAACATGATAGAGCCAGATAATGATAATCGGGCAGTGAAAGAAACAAGCACTCCTGAACATTCCCTATTCCTACTTCTTTAAATTCTCATTTCATTCATCCCTAATTTTATTTTCTTAATTTCTCATTTCATTCATCCCTTAATTTCTAAATTCATATAACTCTTTACTCTGGTTACACATATCTTTGATCAGGACAATCCTTGCGATAATAACACTAATGCTGACTATGTCAGCTCACATGTCATTATTCTTGCTCGGATTACTTTATTTAAATATATATGGAATAACATCATGGGAGACAAAAAGAGAATTGGAGTTAAGATAGGGTTACTAAAATATACTAATCCTAAAATCCCATCCTTACAGAAGTATTTTGCAAAACTGTTGAAAAGAACCTAAGGTAAAGGGCTACCGATTGGGATAACCATCCCCCAATGCTCATAATTTGCGGTAACATTAAACCAGCTTTCATTGCGCTTGTGGCACCACCAATACGAATGCTATGGCCTAAGTATTTTCCTTCTAAACCAGCATGAAATGCTATTCTCTTTACTATTGAGTTTACTGCCCCTGTTGTCATGTGGTTTCCACTTACATTTACAAATAACCAATCATCTCTTTCCACTTTTCCCCTTAAGGACAGGTAATCAAACACAAGTTTTACTGGACAGTATCTTGAATTTGTAGATTCAACTGGGATGAATTTTCCCCTTGCAAATTGATCAGTTTTTGATCTGTTTATCCTGACCCAACAGACTCCTTCTAACATCTTTAAATCATCAACTTTTAAATTACATAGCTCAATGGGACATCTCATCGTACGTAATCCAAGTGCAACTATTGCACAGTCTCTTTTCCAAATTTTGTGCAGAGTGTTGTGGAGTGGGTTATCTAGGTAATTTTTTAGAGTATCAGTTGGCAGAGGGTCTCGTGGCCATATAGCTTCTTTATTTGCTGCTATTTGTTTAGATAATTTCCTTAATAGATTTTGAACATTAAAGTTTAGTGTTGGGTCTTTGACCCCTTTTATTTGGTGATAGTGGCTAATTGCGGTTAAATAAAATCTCAGATTTACTGATCTCATAGTTAAGCTCTCCTACATTAAAAACATTTGAATTGTATTAGGTTCCGCTGGGCAGGCAATTATTTTGTTAAGCTCACAAAAGGTAATAAACTCTTTCCACAGACTCTGCAAACATTTTTTATATAGTGAGTCTGGTGATAAAAACTTATTTACTCTTAGCAACAATGAATTTAAAAATAAATTTTTATTGCTTGGAACTTCCAATTTGGATTTTTCCAAGGTTCTGGTGATAGGTTTCTACTTTGACTCAGCATAAAACTTTTGGTTGCCGGAGGAAGATCTATTACTTCGGTTTTTTGTTGTAAAAGGATAGGCCACCATGGTGCTGAGGGCCAAACTGGGGTTATTAATGTTATAGTGGCCTTGCATTGCATACTTTGTTCGAATATTTTGTGAAGCAGACCCAGGGGGGAGCAAACATAGTTGTTTTCGTTTTCCCAGTTTTGGGTAAAACAATCTACTGCTTCTGTACTTGGGCAGAGAAACCGACTGTTGAAACGGTTGAGCTTTCTTGAATGGTAACTTGCCATTCAATCTATCGAAAAAGGTCTCCATCTTTGATTTATGAGGTCGAACAGTTCTTGAGAAAGCGTCCAATCTGTTTCATCGAATGATCTTGTTAACTCGTCTGCTAGGTTTAGTTGAGAAGGCACCTATAGGAATTCTTGAATTCGGATATTGTACAACTCGCAGAAATTCCATACTTCCTGCACTATTTCTTTCTGCCAAGGCCTTTTCTCTCCTGATTCCACCGTCTTTCTGGCTACTCGATTGTCTATGAAAACTGTTACATAATGGTCTGCAATGGTTGGTACGAATGATTCGAGGCCAAGAAGGATTGCCATAGACTCTAGAACTGCAATATCTATATACTCGTGACAGCGATCCCAATTTCCAAAAGCCCATTTTTTCTCTATAGCCGCTGACCAACCTGTTGTGGACATGTCCACAAATAGTGCCATTACTTGTGAGGGCATCCATGCTGGACTTCTATTTTTCTCTCTCAGATTTTTTATAGTCCAATTTATATCTATAATTGTCTGGTTTGTTAATTGTACTGGCATATCCATTCCCAAGACTTTCTTTTCTCTGCATCTATTATTGAATAAAGTTCTAAGCATCAGACTTTTGCATACTTGAAAGCCTTGCTTATACTTATTAATTTTCCAGTAGTTGAGAAGAGGTGATGGGCTGTAAGTGGCCTTTTTGATAGGAGCTCCTTTAAATCGAATAATATGTCCTTTATTTTTGTTTCTGGAGCAGTAACTTTTCCTAAAACTGTGTCCAATATGAACCCGTAATACTTTGCTTTTTGCATAGGTTCTAAGTGCCCTTTTTCTGCCAAGATGAACCCACATTCTCTTAAATCTTTTAATATGATTAGGTCTCTTATTTTTAATAATACCTCCTGGTTTGGGTGGGTGACCCAAATGTCGTCAACATGGTTCCCACAAAATATTTCACAGGACCTCCAATGCCCTATTAGCACCCTCATGACCTTTGAAAATATCTATACCACTTGGCTTAGGCCAAATGTAGTACTCGATAATGATACCAATTTGTTCCATGACAAACCCTAGCAACCTTTGTGCTTTTTTGTCCATTAAAATATGATGATAACCTTTCTTTAAATCCAATATGATTATCCACCAATTTCGTCTCACCATTCTCAAAAAGGTTGAGAACCCCTCGAATTTGAATAACTTTACAGGTAAGGTTTTGTTCAACCATCTTAGGTCGATAATCAAACACCATTTCTTTGGACCGGTCTTTGGTACCAAAAAAATTGGACTTACCTCTAATAGTTGGTCAGTCTTACCTTTGAATTTGCTACTAACACTATTGCCTTTATTTCCAATAACCAGTTTATTTCTGCCTTCAGCCAAGTATGTTGTTCCTGTGAGAGCAGGTATTGGGATGGGTCCAATTGGCTCATTAAATTTAGCAATCCTTTGGGAAATAATGGAATCCCATCCTCTAACCATTTTATTATCAAACTCGGTGGTTTTACATTCTCTATCCAATACTTTACATGCTCCTTCATATAGACCTGGCCTACTACTGGTATCGACTGTTGGGCCCGAGTGTAGTCATTCATATTTTGCCTCATCTTGCATTCTATTTTCGTATTTATTCTTGTATGCTGCATATCCCTTTGACCTATAAGCATAACATTGGTATTGTTGTTGCTTTGGGGTCTTATTGAGATCTGAGGTACAGGTTCTTGCAAAGTGGCTGTAGCCTCCACAAATGTAACATTTGTTTGGTGATGTTGTTGTATGCTGAGTTTGGTAGATGGGGCAAAAAAACTTATTCCAAAATTTACCTTGATACTTGGTATAATAATTTGGTTTATTGTTGTTTTTCCATTGTAAGTTACTGGTGCTTTTCTCTATGCTATATGCTTTGTGTCGTTTATTCCTTTTTACATCTACGATGGCTTTTGCTTTTTTGATCAGTGAGTCCTTACCTTTTAACCAATCATCTTGCGTGTTAGATAGGGCTGATGCAATTTCCCAACTGAAACCTTCTGCTATACGTAATGTGAACATTCTACTCTCAATTTGTTCTTTTGCTACATTAATATGGCTTGTAGCATCATCTGCTGTTAATGATTCTATTGCTAAGTCAAGCTCTTTTCCTATAGAATGTAATGCATTATATTCGTGTTGGTCACATGCCTTATCGAATTTATGTTTCAGCCAAGCATCCTTTATTTTGGCTTTTTGTCAAGTTTCTTGTACTTGAAGCGATACTGTATTTAATTTGTTGTCAAAATTCAATAATGCATTCTCTAACTTTTTAAAACCTATTGAAATTTTCTCCTCCAAGGAGCTTGACATGTCATCACTTTCTTGTAACCTTCTTTTTTTAGGTAGTTTGTTCGGTTGTATTTTTAGATTTCCTTGAAATTCTTCATTTTGTGAACTGGTTTTTGTAGAGGTATCTTTCGCACGTTCAGCACTTTTTCTTGCCAACTCTCTCAAGGTTTGTAGATCCTTATCGAATATTTCTGAGGCTTCTGAATTGTAACCAGATACCATAGGGTCTATGTCTACTACATCTTCCCTTGTAGTTTCTGGATTTTCTAACATTTCGATATCCTCTTTACAGTCCTCATACTGTGAATATTTCTTTATCCTTTGGACGAGGTCTGTCTTATTTCCTTCTGTTGATATACCTAGACTTCGGCAAATATCTGCCAAGTCATTCTTAGATAGATTTGAGTCTAACATAGTAGGTACCATGACTTAAACACGATAGAGCCAGATAATGATAATTGGTCAGTGAAAGAAACAAGCACTCCTGAACATTCCCTATTCCTACTTCTTTAAATTCTCATTTTATTCATCCCTAATTTTATTTTCTTAAATTCTCATTTCATTCATAACTTAATTTCTAAATTCATATAACTCTTTACTCTGGTTATACATATCTTTGATCAGGACAATCCTCGCGATAATAACACTAATGCTGACTATGTCAGCTCACGTGTCATGTCGATCATTTCAATTTTTATATAAAAAATCTATGTTTATAAAACATACCCTTATAGTAACACATAATTTGCATATTGCTCCACCAATGTTTTTTAAGTTAAAACTATACCCAAGAACCTTATTTATTAAGCCAAAAAAACTTTATTCTCGAATCTTTTGTAGTTCGAAGAAGATCTTCAATTGAAGTTAAAGTATTTTAACCCCTGTAATACGACAACTTACAGCAATGCAATGTACTTAACGGCTATTATTTTTTTCAACACAGTTGTTTACTAATAATCAACTGACAACAAGTCCAGTTCAAGTATGCCAATATTCCATTTTGAGTGCCTTAACTGTTAAGTAGTTTAATGGTTATAGTCATTTATTTATTGAGATAAATATGTTTTTTTTTCACTTTTTTGTAATTTGCCTGAAGTTAAAGCACTCTAGTTCCATGTATGATCTAACCAAATATTGGTAAGTTCTAATCATCAAAATTACTGCCAACATGCTGTTGTTTGTTTATAAATAGTTTCTGATAACTTTCTTTCTAGTATATAATGAGTATAAACTAGATGTATAATGAAAAATAGGCTTCAAAGTCAAACTAATGAAAAAAAGTAAACCAAAAATGCGAAAATACTACTGTAAATCACTATATACAAGATCCTTCATGATAATAGACCTATTGCATTTTATATTTGAATGTGAATCACAGGATCTATATTAATCAAGCATGGGTTTTTTCAAATGCAATCAGACCTTCCTAAATGCAATGTGATGGGATCATATTGTTAGAAGAAAATCCAGTTAAAGTCATAATGCAACGATTATCAAAAATGTGACTGAAAACGTGACCAGAATCACAATCTGATTGTGACCCAAAACTAATGATTATGAAACCCAATTTCTTCCCATTGTATGCAAGAAAAGCCTTAAGATTCAGAACAAGTTACTCATAATTATAAGCCTAGACCTCATATGTAACAATTATAGCTAATCTAAAAAGAAATAAAAATTTAATAGAATCATCATAATGCACAACAAGAAAAAGATGTAATAACTTATTTTTACAGGCTTACAACAGAGTCTTCAACCTGTAAAGACATTTTGGGATATGCAGTTATAGCTTTATTAGTGGGATCTACAAAATAGAGGAGTTAATGAAAAGATAAAATTATGAGTTAAGAGTGGAATTGTACAATTAACAGAAAAAAAAACATTAATATAAAGAAAAAGAGAATATTCTCAAACATACTTCCTTGATAATTCATTATAAAAGCCTTTTTTTTGATATTAAGTAGGATATGACTCTACTTTATGATTCTCTTGACTTTTTCACTTCTATAATCTAAAGAAAATTATAAAATAATTAGTTATAAATTATAAAAAGTGTCAAGAGACATATATGTTCTTTAGAAAAGTCTCTATTATTACCTAGTAATTTGTTCAAAAGCTGTCTTAGTTATTACTAAATTATATTTGCCTTATTTTGTTTTCAAGTAACATTATGTGATATTGATAATCTTAAAATAACAATTCATTCTTGAAGTTGTTCTATTTTTTTATAATAATATATACAAATTTAGTCAAATATGCACTTAGAAAGGTATTATATTTAAAGAGATAAAAATTTATAAATATAATATTAGTTAGGTCCAAAAAAAGATATGCATTTGAAGAAGTATTTCATAAAATATGTACTTAGAAAAGATAACATTTAGGTAGATTTGACTGTATCTGAACTGCCTATTATAAATGCAAAACATGTATATTTTCCAAAGTTTTTTTTTTAGTAATATAAACCTTTAACTATATACTAGATCTAAGTTAGATAGAGAAGTATCAAAAATCAGATGATTTTTTAGAAGGAGGGTAAAAAAAGTTGAAATTATATATAAAGAGCCTGACTATTTATATATTAAAAAAAGGAAAGGGGAATAGGTCTTTAATAAAAAATAATTAGATAATTAAGAGTAGGAGTGACATAGATCATTTTTATTAGTGATTTTATAGCAAATCATATAATATCATATGATTTATATGTAAAATTTTGGTTATATTACACAAATTTCCTATATAAATCTTGTGTGACCTAGGAAACTCATAAGCTGACCTAGGCAAACTTAGTAATATATAAAGTATTTTTTTTTAAATAAAATAAATTATAAAATTTTATCAAAATAATTAGAAGATATAGATTTATATACTATTAAATTTTGGTAATAATTGAATATAATACTGAAAAGTTTTATTAGTAATATATTTTTTTTTATATATAAAATTTTATTTGCTAAGAAAATCATATGACAAATGATCTACATTACCTCTACCCTTAATGGCATGGCCTATAACAATAAAATAGTGCTAATAGTAAATATATTTAGCATTATACACTATCCAAGACTTAATCCAAATATAATTTTATTATTCACATTAATAAAAAGCATTTTTATTATATAAACTGTTTAATATTTAATAAAATCTACTATAATATTACTGTAGCTATAATAAATTAGATGATAAATACTTGGAATACACAAGTTAGTCTAGATTACTTATAATATAAAGCAACATAAGACATAGTATTAGTATTTATAGTAATCATAAGTAGGAATTTTTCATTTGTTCTTTTGCTTTACTATGCTTGACTAAGAAGTTTAACTTTGTTAAAAAAGTAAACCTGTCTAAAAAAAATATATAATTTCATTATTTTAAATATAAACAACAAAAGACATAAAATTATAAAAATCAACAAACTTTCATATATTTAAATCATAAAATAAAATGTTTTATGAGTTTGCTTAAGAAATCTACATTTTAAAAAAACTAAAATGCATCTATTTGTAAGTCTCTAAAGCAAAGGGTTATAGCTAAAACAAGTTTCTTGAATAGTTTCAATAAACTAACAGTAGATATGTTGCAAGTTTTTTATAAGACAAAAGGGCTGTCTAGTATAAGAACAAAGAAAATGACAGAAAGGTTAGCAGAAAAGACAGCAAGTAAGCTAAAAGTGAAAAATTAGCTGTGATAAATCAAGTAGGTCATGCAAGTAATCATACTAGTTATGTTAAAGATTAGTTAGAAGAAGAAGTATATAGAAAGAGAGTAGTTTATTATATAGAGCAGTTTAAGTCTTGTTATAATGAAAGATCAGATAGACAGATGTTTAAAATATCAAGAAATGTTTTGTTAAACCATAGTAAGAAAGATAAAATGTCAAAAGAAAGAAAATATTTAACATTAGAGAGAACTTTAGAGAAGTCTTTGCAAGCTATACTAGTTAAAGCTTTAAGTAAAATAAAACAAAATCTACATATTATAGGTAATAAAGTAAAGAAGAATAAGTTTTGGTTAGAGTAAAGATAGCAAGACCCAGAGATTAGCATAAGTATGATAAGTGGCATAGAATTAGAAAGGAACAGATAAGGTCTTATTGACTAAATCATTAAGCCAATTTTAAGAGCTTAAGAACTAGTCTATACTTTTTAAGTTGCAAATAAAAAAGAATAAGATATTGTAGCAGCTCTAAAAGATTTATTTAGTAAAGACTTTATAAAAGCAGTCTTTAAGAAAAAATTAGTCTTGGCAAGACAGTTAGCAAAAAGCAAGAAAAGAAAAATTAATTATTTTTCTTTAGTGTTAAGTTTAGAATCTTATCTAGTCTTTTCACAACTGTGATTTGGTCTTGATACTCAAAAATAAGTTTCTTCAAAAGTTTTCTGAGAAGCTAAGTAATAGGTTCTTATATCATCTTCTAGCACCACAATAGCAACAAATATTTAGTTAGTGTCCTAACAAGTTCCCAATAGTTAGATATCTTTTTACAATAATTAGTTGTCCTTTTAGTATAACCAGTTGTCTCTTCAAAGTTGGCTGAACATACAGTTTCTTTTGAATAATTAGTAAAATGTTAAAAAGAAGACAAAAAGGCTGGCTAATATTATTTATTATGTCTGTAAGAAAAAAAACACATTGTAACAAATTGTCTATATAAGAAAACTGAATTGCCTTTTTATAAGTTTGACACAAAGCCTAAAAGTTGACTATACTCAAAGGGTGTCAAGAGAAACAAAATTAGAAGTATTAATAGTAGAACAGAGTGTAATGGAAATAATTAATACAAAAAATTAAAGAAAGGTATTTTACTATTTTTAAAAAGAGTAAAATCACTATTTTTTAAAAAAGTTCTATGGTAAATCAGTTTTGCAATATAGAAAAGAGATTGGTTAGTAGAGAAATTGGATCAGTTTTGCAAATTAGGGTCAATTTACCAGGTATCTCTAGAAAAAGTAAGACCAGAGTATTTACTAGAAGTAAGTCTAGTATTTTTGATTCTAATGAAGGGTTCAAAGAAGTACAGACTAGTTGTGAATTTAAAGCATTTAAACAAGAGGTTGCCAAAGAAGACAGTAAGGTTTAAAGATTTGAGTGAGTTTCTAAGATCAATCAGACAGAATTAGTAGATTTTTATATTTGATTTAAAGGATAATTATTATTATATAAAGATAGATGATTTTGTTTAAAGTTTTTTGAGGTTCAGGCATGAATAGATCTAGTATTATTATATAATTCTTCTTTTTAGCCTCTTATAAGCAGTCTGGATCTTTTTA